CAACATATCCACCTCGTGGCTAAAAACCCATAACTTATATTATGCGTACTACTTTAAAAAAAATACTTTAATATTTAACTATAATAATAAATTTATATTACAGTCAATATAATATACCTTAGTTTCATGGGAGTTTAAATGGTTTTTCGTAATTTATATTATGCTTTTGATTTTCTTATAATTATAACGGCTATCTCAAATAATTAATTAAATTTAATAGTTTTATATAATTTGATATATTTTTTACTTTATACATATCAGCCAAAGTCAACTTTTAAGTTTCGTTTCAGCACAACAGTCTAACAGAGCTTCTCAGTAAACTCAATGCACTTACTAAGATCTTAAATCGTCAATTCGTCATATAACTCTAGTTTTTAACGACAAAAAGTCGCAAAACACATGTAATAACTAGTAACTGACTGTTTAGTCGATAGTGAAAACAGAAAACCCATAGTAAGGGTACAGAGTAATTTCGGTTTTTTTTTTGTATATTAATATTAGGCCATTGCCGTATTCAAAGTTGATTATCATTTCCGTTACTAATGATTCCTTCATTAAATAATAAGCAGCATATTAAAGAGTTATATCTCTTGAAAAAGTGTGTCAATATAACGAACTATAGTAACATTTGAAGTACCTAAATATATATGTAGAAGTTAGTTTTTATCCGACTTCATAAAAAGAGGAGGTTCTCAATTCGTCGGTTTCTTTTTTCTTTTGAACTACCAAAACCAATAGAATGATAAATAAAATCTAACGCGTAATGGGAGTAACATAGAAATAAAATAAAACTCTCTTAAAATTAACTAATAGTAAGAATTATAAAAATAGATATTTTTATTTAAAAAGAATTACTTAATAGAAAGGTAATTGTCATAAGTTTGTCGAAAGTTTAACTTGACGTAAAAAAAAAATATGTTCGTAGAATTGTTTTCTCATTAGAACTGGTTTAAATTGTATTATTCCGAGTAGCTTTTTGATAGGTATAATTTGAGAATGAATATTTTACAATTCGCCATTTTTGATTTACCGCCATATTAGATTTTAAGTGACGTCATTGATTATAATTATTGACACAAATCCCAGCAATCTCTTTTGAGAATTACTAGTACTCAAAACATATATTTCTAAAATCCTTCTTTCCTCTTAATGAGTATCATTAAATTATTTAAAATGCAAAAAAGGTACTCGGTCGCCATTTTTTTCCGCCATATTAGATTTAGAGTGACGTCATATAATATATAAAATCCTATACATTTGCTATTAATCCTTCATTCGTCTAAGCTTACTGACGTAAAGTATTTTTAATGCATGACGCTCTTTTTTACAATCTGGTTATTGAGATGCTTCAAGAGAATTTAAAAGAAAAGAATGATATAAATTTAATTTGTAGCATTTTTGAAACTGTCCCGTATACTATTGACTCAAAACATTCTCTGAATTTGTCTACAAAGAAATGTATGTGGTATGTAAAAAAAAGTAAAGGTATGTTGATCTTTCGTCAGAAATATCTATAGCATATGTTTCGTGACTTCATACACTATACATCTGCAATACCTTACTCCTACAGCAACAGTATCGAATTTCGTCTAAAATTGACGCTTATGCTTATCCTAATGTACAATCTAAATTACTGTAAAGTTTAATCAAAATCCGTTTAGTAGTTTTTGCGTTAAAGATCAACAAACTTATACATCCTCATAAACTTTCTTATTGATAATATTAGTATGGTTTATCTTCTTCTACCTGGCAATTTCTCAGCTTTAGCCAGGGTTTGCCTTACATGTTGTGAATAGTTTTTACGACCGGCCGCCTTCTTGACATCAACCCTCTTTGGGAATGCATTAATCACCACGCTTGCTCAAGACGGATTAGTAATTTCAAACTTATAATTGTGAAATTATAAGTCCAAATTTATGATGTTTTCCTTCACCGTCTGTCAGTGATATCTAAATACTCTGAGAAAGTACATATGACTCAGAAAAAAACACATTGGTACTTGCCAGGATCGAACCCGCGACCTCACACATGAGAGGCCTGCCTTTAACCACTAGGCCACCATGACTTTAATTTTTTATATTTTACTATATTATTAAGTGATGGTGAACATATCTTCAGTGACTCACATCATACTAAGTTTTTTTCAGGTAATTTTTGTACTTACTTTTTTATCTGATTAAAAAACTCTCATTGCTTAAAGATCTATTGTATTTGTCGATGATAAAAATGATTTGATATTTTTGTGAAAGTAAGTTATATAAGAAATTTATATTTTTATGAGTCTCTCTCATTTTAAATACGTATTTCTTTTACTTTTGACTTAGTAACAATATACTGAAGTTTGGAAAAATAGTTTTGGTGAAATGACTAAATTAAAATATATACAAATATTCTTATAGTATATTACTATTCACTGTGAAGGAAAACATCGTGAGGAAACCTGGACTTATAGTTTCACAATTATAAGTTTGAAATCACCAACCTGTCTTGAGCAAGCGTGGTGGTTAATGCTCAAACCTTCTCCATGTTAGAAGAGGCTATGCTCAGCAGTGGGCTCTGATATGATGATGATGATGATAATATTATTATTGTTATCGGAAACGCTCACTGTATAATAAATAGTGTGACTATTCAAACTTGTGGTAAAACTACGCTATTTATTTAAATTAAAAATTAAGTTTTATTTCATTAAAATTCATCATTTCCCAAAAACATTATATGTATTTAAGTAGATAACTTTTTTATATAAAGTTGTATAAAACAAAACTTTTATAGGCATTACGAGTTCAAGATTATGCTTTCAATGCACTAACAGAAAATGTGTTGATATAAAATAATGCGGGCATAGTCGCGGGTTTAGACTAGTTTTATATAAAGGCTTTACTACGATAAGCGAGACCAAATAGGTTGATTTAAGTCAATTACTGAATTATTCTGTAAGTATACATATCAACTTTCAAGTTGTTGTGATTTGATAAATGATGGTAATTGGTATTGTGAGGTGAAGTTATCATAGTATATGTATGGGTTACAGGTGGTTTCTTTCTGAATAGTCTTCATCACGTTCATATCTTTCTATGAAAACATGTATAAATGAAACTAATATTACTCGGATATACTACGCGTGTTTTATTTTTGTAAAAACTACATACTCCCGATGTTTCAGTTACTTTTCAGCAACCCTGATCACGCAGACGAGATGTGATCAGATGGCCTTGTTCACGGTTGCTGAAAAGTAACCGAAACGTCGAGAGTATGTAGTTTTTATAATAATAAAATAGGCATAGTAATCCTAACAATATTAGTTTCATTTAAATGAATACTCGCGAAAGTCTCAGACCTCTTAAATATATGTTGACGTACATATATAACATATATATGACTGAAAATTTTATTGTTTAATACATATTCTATACACTGTCTATCCCTGCATCTCCTCTCGTTCTGTTTTATATATAATATCCTATACTTTATCCGTTTTATTTACAAATGCCTGGTACATTGTAATATATGCATGCAGGGCGAATGTCATGCATTTATTCATGGTTGGTGACGAGTCAGATGTAAGGCAATTTGCTCTGCCGCTTGCCTTGGAAACCAATTCAACACACGATAAATGATATTATAACAGAAAATATATTATGCTTTTACAGTTTGATAGAGAAATTATAATATTAAAAAACTATATATAAATTGGAGGAGGCCTTTGTCGACTAGCAGACATATCTACAGAAAATAAATCAAATTCAAATAATTAACTACATTAAGTTGTATTAAATTTAAGTTTTCTTTGCATTTTTATTATTAAATTTTTCTATGTATCTGTATAAAAAGGGTTTCTGTCATTATATCAGTAAAAATATATAACACTCATGAGCATCACAAGATCGTAAATTCCTTACTTAATAACTCACAAAGTTACAATAGTTTTCATATCATTTGAAATATTTGTAAAGATCTCAGTTAAATCCATACCAATTATTATTAATAAATTAATCAATTTAATCGATAAATTCGCCTGATAACATATAATTTTTGTTATCTCGTGTTATCAGTGTTTGTTTGTGTTCAAACAACCGTCACTATTTAGAGAGCGAGCCCGCGTGCTCCCACGAGTGTAGACATTGTTCACAAGTCATGGGAATTAGGTCGACATCTAACATATACCTATGTTATTGATGATTAAAATTCATTAATAAATCATTTTATTCGGCTTATAAAATATACGGAAACTCTGAAAAAAACTTTTCTTATTTTTGAGGAAAAATTAGAAAAAAATAAACTTTGATGTGTTTTATATCGTATTTTTTAAAACATATGTTATTGGCGTTAAAATTAATTTATAAGTGATACAAACTTGTATGTCTTTAACAATTTATAATATATAAAACATATATTTTAGTTATCCCAATAAGTTATTCCTATTTTAATAAGTTCATGTATATAACAAAATCATAATTTTGGCTTCTCAATAATATACATGTTATGTACTTATACCGGAGTTGCTTGTTACATTCCGGATTTTTTGATCGTCGTACATACAATAAAACAATTCTTATTATTAATAACCATAACCTGTAAGACAAATTTAAACACAACATATTGAATATGTATCATTTTATCTTTATATACATAAAAGAAAGTCGTGTTAGTTACACTATTTATAACTCAAGAACGAATGTACTACATAGTTTGAATGAAAATTTGTGGGGTCATAGCTTAGAACCAGAAAAGGACGTAGGATACTTTTCTTTCGATTGAAAAAGAAAAATAAAAGTTGATCAAATTCAAAATCTTCTTATCTACTGTCTTTAAGGAGGAATGGAGTTCGCCCGGTCAGATATACATTTCTAGTTTTGAAACTAACGCAGACAAAGTCGCGGGCATAAACTAGTATATATACTACTAGTATATGTTCTCTGGTTATATTATATTAATATAATAATGTATTAAATGTAAATAATAGTGGTGACCTCTCATTGTAGTGACTTCATTTTACAATGACTGTGAGTGACTCCGGAGGCTGCGTCAACAAGGCCTTTGATGCTGTAGACGATGGCTTCCACACCATCGACCTGCGGACCAGGAGGGAGGACGGGTCACAGGTAATGATATGATATGATAATGATATGATAAGGATATCATAGATTTTAATAATGCAAAAATTTTAATGCTATCGAAAGGAAAGTTCATGAAAGCTTAGGAATTTTATTGATGACGTCATCACAGTAATGGAAAAATGAAAGAAAGTGTTGATGATGAAAAAAATTTTTAGTTAAACTAAAAAATGTTCCATACGTTTGACGCTTTTCAGTTTAGTTTTCAATTTACATATGTATGACAACTTGAATACAATTCGAAATTTAATGAACATGATCTAATAATATATATTTATTTATTAATAGGCTAATATAGGTATGTTATTAGTCTCCATCACTTACCCATATATTTGGTGTAAGTCACAGTCCCGTCAAGTAACCGCACGTGCGCACTACCGTACACAGAATACAGAATGGGAGCAGATAATTTCACTTTGAACAATAACACCAATTACCTACATATACATATTATGTATATATGTTTGTGGAATTTTACATATACATAAAAAATATATATTTACGAACATCATTTGTTTCACTCTATAACTTGTATAAATTGATATAAAAATTTATACCAATTTATATGTACAATATTTAATAGAGTAAAAATGTAACCATCAGATTATTATTTCGATTCTACATGTAACAAAGAATTCATGAAATGCAATAATTGCAATTATTTATTTTAATTCAACTAATTGCATTTTTAATATTCATTAATAATATTAATAATATTTATATTAATCTGTATATTTGTCGTGTACTGTCCTCCCGTTGTTTATATACACGGTCCGCGTGTTTGGACCGTCAGTAGCCCGCGTGGGGTTGTGCAGTGACGTTGCTTCTGTGACGATCTAGACGCGAACTTTTCACGATTACGTGACAAATATGTACTGAGAATTTGTTCCCGTGGAAAAAAATACAAAAAATGGTATTTATTATTTAAATATTTTAAATATATAAAATGACCTCTTTTTAGTGATTTTATATTTCACAGTCAAGTATTAGTTCGCGATATTAATTTTTGACATGGTGAGAAAAATTGCATTTATTTCGTATTGCAGTTTATTAGATTTTTATATTCATGAATTAAAATCAAGTAATATTAAAATTATTTCTTTTTTAAATATTATACTATTCTCTTTTAATTATAAATAACAAAACTCTCAATACGTTGGTTAAATAATTATATATTTATATATAAAGTAACGTGAATAAAAATGTACACTACATTAAGTACATACATAAGTATTATAAAAGTCAAGTTAAGTATTATAAAAGTCAAATATTTGTCCATTTTAAAATCATTAGGCTTTATTAAAATTACATATACATACATATATGTTTTTGCCTTGTGATTTTAGACGTATTTTATTTTTATCTCAAGACTGTATATTTTTGTCATAATAAAAAATATTTTATGAAGATAATATTCAATATTTAATATTAATATATAAAATAAATTAAAATGTTATATTCCAATTTAATGTACATCATTCGTTCCAGTCAATAACTTCTATGAATCGGTACAATTATTTTTAAATAGCCAAATTTTTATTTATATATGTACATATTAAATAATAATAAAGTAATCAGCAAACTTTATTGTGTTACGTGTTTTCCGGTTTTTTAATATTACTTTGATACATTTATATTATTCAGTAATTATCAAAAAATATTATTTTATCAATAAATATTTAACGTTTTCTGGAATATTTCTCAATATCTAGTTATAAACTTAATTTATAATTAAATTAATTAATTTATCTTAATACAATAAAAAATTAAGATCTACGAGAATAATTATATATTATGTTTCTAAGAACAGAAGTATCATTAAGATAATTCTGAAATATATATTTATGTAGAATCTTAAAATTGTTATTTTTCTTTAATTAATAATCTATTATATCACAAAATAGCTCATTTATTGAAGCAGCCTGGACAATTCTCAAAATTATTAAAGAAATTTTTGTCTATATTTCTCTTTGTCCGCGACTAATACATGTTTTTCGACTTCACTTGAGAGTACTCCTCTTATATAAAGTGGTAAATTTAAATATTATACCTACAGTTTATTGTGAGTCGGATGTAGTCTTGAAACAGTCGCCCACAGTCATAAAAGTACTTTAATAAGAAAAATGTCGGCTAAATTGTTTCTTATTAACGAAAATTGAAAAAAAAATAATACAAAAACTTGTTTATATTTCCGATATATTATACAAAATATTTTTCATCAGTATCAAAAGTAGAAGCAAATATTGGACAAAATATTCTCCCTCAATAATAATGATATTGTCAGAACGAATTAAAATTAATTAAAATTTACGTATTCACCTATAATTGTTTAATAAAATATATGTATATATCTTGAAAGAAAGTTACATTATTATATTGTATATTATTTCAAATTGTTCTTAATAGTGCTTACTACGTGGGCTCAATACTTAGCCTCGCATTAAATCTTGATAAACTTCCATTGTATGACATTTACAAGTTCCGGTGGTTACTACCAATATTAGTTTATTACTTACTAGCTGACCAGACGTTGTTTTGCCATATAAAAATAAGGGTTGGTGATAAAAAAGTAATTTGTTTTTGGATTGTATGAATTTTTTAAAAACAAAAAATTTCGTCCGAAAATAAAATGAAGGGTGAACATCCCTAATGACTTAGGGGTATGGAAAATAGATGTTGGCCGACTCTCAGGCCTGCTCAATATGCTCACAAAATTTCATCTAAATCGCTCAAGTCGTTTCGGAGGAGTTCTCTGTCTAACACCACGACACGAGAATTTTATATCTATACTAATATTATAAAGCTGAAGAGTTTGTTTGTTTGTTTGTTTGTTTGTTTGTTTGTTTGTTTGAAAGCGCTAATCTCCGAAACTACTGGTTCGAATTGAATAATTCTTTTTATGTTGGATAGTCCAGTTATCGAGGATGGCTGTGTGCTATATAACATCACGCTACGACCAATAGGAGCAAAGATATAGTGGTAAATGTGTAAAAAACGGGAGAAATTATTTCATCTTTGAAGCCTTCCGTTGCGTGCGCCGTGAAAACGGTTCAAGATACACAAAAATATGTATTAAAGAATAATAGCTCTTTTAATGATCTAAAAAACAGTCCGGGACAGTATATATCTATCTTTTAAGATTAACTCACAAAAACCGTTTTTATGGTACCTAATTTGGTCGAAATAATTTGTTTAAGTTGTATCAACATAATAATATAAATTTTTATCAAATAAACAAATAAATATGTTGTTGGTTAAGAGTACTTCATTGTGAATAAAAAAAACATAGGTTTTATCCCGAAAATTCTACGGGAACTCCACCATTCCGAAAACCCCGCAAGAATGGGAACTGTGTGGGAAGAACCAAAAATCTGCCGGAAGTCACTATTCCACGCGGACGAAGCCGCGGCAAAAGCTAGTATAAGATATATGTTTGTAATATAGAAAGAAATACCATCAAACTTATTATGTACAGTCAAAATACTTTGAGTTTTTAAAACAGTTGACTAGTTGTTGTATTAATATAGGTTAAATTGGTTAAAAATCTTCAATAATATAGTATTTTGTGTGTTTTAAACCCGCAGGCGGACCGAGCTGATCGTGAGTCTCGTTGCGGCTGGGGCGCGCTACGGCCAGCGTGGCTGCAACGTTTTAGAACTGCTAAATGGGCCTTGTTCTGGCTGTGCTGGGCAGGAGCTATACAGGGTGAGTTATAAAATCATCATCATCAGTCTATCAGAGCCCACTGCTGAGCAAAGGCTTCTTCTCACATGGAGAATATTTGAGCATTACCGCGCTTGCTCAAGACGGGTTGGTAATTTCACAATTATAAGTCCATTTTCTCACGATGTTTTCCTTCACCGTCCGTCCGTAATAAAATATCAAACATTTACTATATATTACATTTAATTAATAATTCTTAAATTTAAACCCATTTTTAAACTCTGACGGTCTTAAGAAGAAATGAAGTTTGTTTACATTGTTTATCTTGTTTCGTTGGAATCAATATAGATCTACCAATTATATTTACGTCTCCATGATGTTCATATTATGAGCGTTTTTTCTTTTCACATTGGCTAATACGATACATTTTACATATACGATTACCCAAGTCAGTGTTTTTAACATTCTCTCAAAGGTTTAGTAATCGTATTGATTGTAAAATAACGTCGGTCACGAACATTCGTACAGGAAACGAAAACTTTATGAAATATCACGCCAAATGTCGAACTTAACTTTTACTTACCACAGTTACATTATTAGCAAAATCTATACTAATATTATAAAGCTGAAGAGTTTGTTTGTTTGTTTGTTTGAAAGCGCTAATCTCCGAAACTACTGGTTCGAATTGAATAATTCTTTTTGTGTTTGATAGTCCAGTTATCGAGAAAGGCTGTGGGCTATATCACATCACGTTACGACTAATAGGAGCAAAGATATAGTGGTAAATGTGTATAAAACGGGAGAAATTATTTCGTCTTTGAAGCCTTCCGTTGCGTGCGCCGTGAAAACGGTTCAAGATACACCAAAAATATGTATTAAAGAATAATAGCTCTTTTAATGATCTAAAAAAACAGTCCGCGACAGTATATGTCTATCTTTTAAGATTAACTCACAAAAACCGTTTTTATTGTACCTAATTTGTCCGAAATAATTTGTTTAAGTTGTATCAACATAATAATATTAATCTTTATTCAAATAAACAAATAAATATGTTGTTGGTTAAGAGTACTTCATTGTGAATAAAAAAAAACATTTTTATCCTGAAAATTCTACGGGAACTCGACCATTCCGAAAACCTGCCGGAAGTCACTATTCCACGTGGACGAAGTCGCATCAAAAGCTAGTATTTAATAAAGATGTATGAATCTTTGAATTAATTTAAGATGATTTTTCATATATGTAATATATTATTCAAATACTTAGGTCTTAGTCTTTGTCTGCTTTAAATCGGAATTAGTTATATGTATAGCTGACCGGGGGTGCCCTATTCTGCTTTAAAGGCCGTAAATAACCAGATATTGTAGTTTATTTTTTCGGTCGAACAGAATTAAATATCATATGTCAATCTCCTGGTTCTAATCTATCTCTCCACCAATTTATCTGCAGTCGTTTTTGAGTTATAAATAGTGTAACTAACATGACTTTCTTTTATATATATGTATAAGATATGTTGTCAAGGCATTTCAATTATCTCGTTTAATTAAACCTAGATTTGTTTATGATACGTAAAACAGATAAGAATGTATTCAGTAACGTGTTAAGACATAATAATTAGCTCTATAAACCAGAAATAACGTTCTTTATCACAGATAAATTACGTTTTCATATAAAATAAAATACTTTTTTAAAGTATCAAGATAATCTAGTTCAAAAAAATGTTTGTACGTCTTTATGCGGGTTAATCTTCGGAACAGCGAACATGATCTTTGTAGGTTTTGATGATGATGGAATCTGTAAGGCAATGGTGTACTACTTTTTATTCTATTTTTGTCCCGTTTAAAAAATCATCAAGCTGCGTAAAAATAACAACCAATTTTTTCGGCTCGATCTACCCAAAAAGTTAGATTATGCGATATCGCGTAAGGAAACTCGATTTAAAGTTACCAAAGAATAAACATGGAAGCGATATCGACAATCTTATTTAAAGAACCTACTTACACAGTTTTTAGAATATTCCGAGTATATTAATAACTAGCTTTCGGCCCGCAGCTTCGCCCGCGTGGAGTTCTGTTATATCGAGTTTCCAATAGAACTTTTCAAAAGTCTGGCATAAAAACTATCCTATGTTCTTTTTCAAGGTCAACTCTATCTCTGTACTAAATTTCATTAAAATCAGTTCAGTGGTTTAGGCGTGAAAGCGTAACAGACAGACAGACAGAGTTACTTTCGCATTTATAATATTAGTAGGGATTTTAATGAATACTAAGTTTTTAAGTTTAAAAAATAGCTACAATAGGTGTTTATCTTGGCGTGATCAATAGTTATAGTTGTTTAGTGTATTATAATAGTGAGACAAAGCATCCGATGCATAGTTTGGACAGTGTTTTGCATAATTTCCCGCGGGATCAGGGAATGGATTCCCAGAGTACAGCCCGGGATTTGTGGTGCAGTTTTATCTGGGCCACTTATCGAGATATTAACGCAATGACAGATTTATAATAACAGCCATCATAATGAGATCTGAGATTTTCGAGAGTCATTTAAATGAACTAATATTTTGAGGATGTACTACGCGATTTTATTTTTGATAAAAGCTACATACGAGATGTCTAGTCAGCCCGTGATCACGGTGACTGTAAAGTAACCATGACGTCGGGAGTAAAAAGATAATTAATAGGAATTACGGCTTAATAGAATTAAAGCAAAAATAGTTCAATAGGTATTTTAGCAAATGAAACTTTTTTGCAACGCCTTAGTTTTGATTTTTGAATAACTAGACTTTATGACGAATTTTTTCATACAACACTAACCGCTATCAACTACATGTCACATGTCATACATTCGTGATGGTTCCGTTTGACATTTGACAGGTTATTAACTCACTAGGTTTATAGTTCAACGTCTTAAACGGTTTAAAATAACTGGAGAATTATTTAAATTTACCGCGTTTTATAATCTACTAGTTTTTGCCTGCGATTTCGTCCGCGTTGATTTCGGAATTAGTAATATATACCTATACATATAGCTGACCGGACGAACTCTATTCTGCAATAGAAGCCGTAAATAACCAGATATGTATTAGAATTTATTAAGTTTTTTCTTTTTCTTTTTCGATCGAATAAAATTAAATATCCCATGTCCGTCTCCTGGTTCTAATCTATCTCCCTCCAATTTTCAATATATCCCTACAACCGTTCTTGAGTTATAAATAGTGTAACTAACACAACTTTCTTTTATATATATAGATGAATATAACACTATATAAATTAGAATTAAATTGATATCGTTCAGTCTGCTTGTATTTTTGACCTCCTACGAAAAAAGGAGTGTTAAAAATTTCATTACGATGTATGTGGCATTGTATCTCAAACTAAACAACGAATTTCCTTTCATGTCCTTACATTTAAAAGGCAGTTTCCGTTTTTACCTATGTTTATATCGCCCAGTAGCATTGTAAGTTCTTTTCTATAATGATGCAAGCCATTCTTATTTTACGATTATTCGTTTCAATACTTCATGCGTGTTAGTATAACCGTTTAATAATTAACTTAATCATAAGCGTACAATGAACTGTTTACAGATAACTGTAACTAAAACTTAACAAATATTATATGATATCAGAACTACTTGGAAGTTGGATGTTCGTAAACTCACGCAGTAAACACCATTTCAAATATTAAGACTTAAAAATAGTGTTTTCATTGACCACACATTCGTACTGACCTCTGAAAATAAGAATTAAATATGTAGTTTGAAAAATTTGATATACTGAAAAGGAAAGACGTACTTAGAATATAAATTATAAAAAAATAATAAACACTACTTAAAAATCAACTATACCCTATATTAGCAGACACAATCACGAGACGTAATACGCATAGATTCTTCTTCTTCCTGGCAATTTCCCAGCTTTAGCCAGGGTCTGCCTAATATGCATAGATTAATCAGAAATATGTAATATTTAAATATCACACACTTCATTACATAAAACACGATAAATTAATGGAAAAATTCTTTACATATTATGTATTATATGTATGTTATATCTTAATGTATATAATGTTGTAATTGTATATAATATTTACTTAAATTATTATAGTAATAAAACACATAATTTTGATTAATCACATTTAAACTGATATAATAGAAATCTATATATGTCACAATAACAACTATATTAAATTTACTTACTAAATGTATGTATATAAATAAAACCAACATTTTCGTATTACGCGTTTTTTACCATTATAAACTATGTACATACACCCGACGTTTCGGTTACTTTGCAGCAACCGTGATCACGGACAGACAAGATAGAAATATATATGTATGTATATACTTATTAGTGTACTATGCAATTTTAATGCGAATAAAATTTTTTTTTTCATTAAATTAACTATTGACATACATTTACTTATATGTATATCGAAAAAAAAATCCATATCTATTGTATATTAAAAGTCAAATATAATATATAAATGGCAAATCCAAAAGTTATTCAATGCCGTATCCATAGTTCGTAGATGAATGTTAGCTGGTCTCCATAAATCTATCCAAAGTTCGCAGAGTTATAGCCTCGCCACCAACAGGTGTAGCCAGATGCCGGTTCAGAACACGACTTGAACGATTGCTTACCCAATATTATATACATCCTTGTATACTATAGTTTCTGCCTGTGACTTCGTCCGCGTTAATTTCGGAATTAGTAATATATGTATAGCTGACTGGATGAATTCTATTCCGCCTTAGAGGACGCAACAAATCAGATATTGGAGTTTATTAAATTTATTTTTGTTTCGATCAAACAGAATTATATATCCTATGTCCGTCTCCTGGTTCTAATCTATCTCTCCACCAATTTTCATTTATATCCGTACAGCCGTTCTTGAGTTATAAATAGTGTAACTAACACGACTTTCTTTTATATATATAGATAATGGTATATAAATAACCTAAGCATTATTTTTATACACAAAAAATTAATTTAACGCTCCAGTGATGTTTTACAATGCATATAATTTCATTATACCGGAAACATTTAT